ATCTGGCTTTTTTTTAATAGAGATAGTCAGAAGAGAATCCTTCAAGGATTAAACTTACCCATGTAGCTACAGCTGTACTGTACCCATATACTATACCTTTTCTCTTATTACAGTGCCCTCTATCTAAGGTTTGTCCTTGTACTTGTGCAGTGAATTTGGTCCCTGTTCACCTGCTCAAGAACTTTGCTCCTCAAGTTGTTCTCACTCTCCTGACTTCAATTTCCCTCCTTTTATTAGATAACAGTTATCATTATACTAATATGCATGCTATAATACTAATATCTTCCATTTTTAGAAATTCTTTATATCAGTTTGGGTTCCCCAGAGAAATAAAACTAATAGAAGATATACTTACATCTCTCTCTCTCACACACACACACCCACACCCACACACACACACACACATTTATTTCAGTGAAATAGCTTAACACACTTGTAGGGGCTGGCAAATGTGAAATCTAGGGCAATCCAGCAAGCTGAAACTCAGGCAGGAATTGTGCAGTCTTGAGTTTGAGATATCAAGATCTCAAATACTCACTGTCTCCACTTGGCCTTCTCCTATTCTTTTTGAACCTACTCCAATCAGATATTCTAGCATTATCTCTTCCCTGCCTCTTTTCTTGTTGAGGTCAGCAGTTACGTTCTTATTGTCCAAATCAGTGAATGGCTTCCAGTTGTCATCTTTCTTTCTCTGGAAAGACACAGCTACTTTTTCCTTCTTGGAACACTGTCTTCACTTGTTTTCTGGAATACCACATTGTCCTGGTGGATCTTAGAAAGCTAAATTGTAAATACTGAATTATTTTGAGACTCAAAATTCAGATCTTTTTCCTTTTCTGTCTTTATTTACTCCTTAGTCAAAACCAATTACATGGTTTTATTATTTTTACTAGAAAAGAATGATGGTGAGAGAGGTAATATAGTCACATGATTTAAAATTGAAAGTAAAAAATCTTATATGGCGAAATGTCACTCTTCCACTCTTGGCCCTTGGTCCTCAAATTCTCTTCCTTGAAGGCAACAAAACCTGCCAGTTTCGTGTATATCTTTCCAGACATGTTTTATGCATATAGTAGCAACTACATATTCAGTGAGAGGCAATATGGTGTAGTGGTTAAGAGCTTGGACTATGGAGCAAGGTTGCCTATACTCATATTCTGTCTCTGCCAGTTATTGGTTATGTAACTGTCAAGTCTCTTAACTGATCTGTGCCTCAATTTTCTCTTAGGTAAAACAGGAATAATAATAATACTTATTTCATAGACTTCTGAGGTACAAATGAATAAGTATGTGTAAAGAGTTCAGAAGAGTGACTGGCACATGAAAATAAATAACATATTCCTTTTGTACAAATGATAGCATATATATACTGTCAGGCATCTTGCTTATTTTTTCATCAACAAATATCTTAGTGTTTATTTACAACACACAAATCATGCCTCACCGTCTCTAATGGCTGAATAATTATCCATTGGATGGATGTGCCATCTAAATTTATGACTCTAAATACCAGTATCTTTGATAATGACTTCTAAATGTGTATCCAGAGATCTTCACTTTAGATAACTAATAAGCAAAAATCCTTCTAATTACCCTTGCCCTTTCTATTTCTCTCATTTCCTTTATTATAATCTAGCAAATTCTTTCCACTGTACCTTCAAAATGTACTCCATATTTAACCATTTCTCTCTGCCTATTGTTACCACCTTAATCTAAGCAGCTTCACTTCACTGAGTTGCTTGAGGCCAAAAAGTTAAGAATCATCATTGCAAACATTGAGCAAAATGTTTTCAGCTCCCCTTCATTGCTCCTATGTGATCTCCCTTCTTCTACTTTTACTCTTCTATAGTCTGTTCACATAACAGTTCAAAATGTAAATCAGACTATTTCTCATCACTCCACATTCTTTAGAGATCTTACCCCACTTTGATTTAATTCCTGCACCCTAATGAGAGGATGAGTTAACCAGATTTTAGTAGAATCCTTGTACTCTGGCCTCTTTTTTTCTCCTTGCATCATCTGCTGCCTCTGCCTACCTCTGTGCTCCAGCTACACTACACGCCTTGGTCTTTTATGACTGCCCTCCTCATAACCATTTACATTATAACTCTTCCTGGAACACTGTTCTGCCATATTGTCATGTGATCATTTCTTTACTTTATGCTCAAATGTCAAGGCCTTGAGAGACCTTCATGAATGACCTTCATGAATGAGCAGGTTCACCATTCTATAGTCAGCAGTTAAAACGTGGAACACTAAATGAATTATTCTTCTCATTGGTAGACAAAAAGCCACTTCAAAGCCCATATCACATTATCAAGGCTGAGTGGCACCCCCTTCACTCTAACCTTTTTACCATATCTTATTTTTTTAACCACACTTTATTTTTCTTCACAGCATTTATCATTAACCGACATGTTTTTTTCATTTGTACATTACCTGTTTATTGTTGTCTTCTCCTTACTAGAATGTAAAAAATCATAATGGCAGGTACTTTGTTTTGTTCACTTTGTATCTCTAGTACCTAGAACAATGCTCAGTATACGTTGTATTGATAGATGAATGGAAGAGCAACTAGTGCTTCTTTAACAATCTTTGATGAACAACCAGTTTTTAATTA